CGCGCCAGTATTTCGAAATGATTTTGGTTTACCTTGACCTAAAATCAAGCGATTTTTCATCACATCTTACTTGCACTGGAACCTCTTGTTGACTTGGTTATTTCGAACCTCTCACTTTTTCGACTCATTTTGCAACCAACTAAAAACTAAGACCTTTAAACGCTGTTTTAGACACATTGATGATTTCAGTTCAAGTCTTGTTCTTTGCCAATTACCGGTAATGACGGTGTTCTTAAAAACACCTCTAAGATGAGAGCTTCAGAAATAACTGCAAGTAGTGAGTTTATAATATCGTATGAAAGCTGTCGAAATAATGCCATAGTTTTATCTCACTTACCATTGCCAAGTTCCCATCCAAATTTATATCCATTGTCAGCTGCATATTTCACTATTTTCAAAGGGTTGCTTGAATCCCACGAGCCATTTTTTGATCTTCTTAACAAGCTTAATGTGAATAGCACTTGCCAGCCAGCTTTTTCTGCTATCTGATTAATCCTGTCCAGATCTTTACCATTAATATTAAAAGTGGCTTGTTTTACGAAATGTTCAGGTGTTTTCTCCAGGTCATCAAAAAGAACAAAGTCACCAGCAGTACCTCCAATCCGAGCATAAGCGGGCGAGAGAGCCTTTGTCAAGGCAGTTATTTGTTTTTCTTCCGCAGCAGTGAAGTTCCATTCAACTAGAGTCCTCCAAGGTATACCAACAGATATAAACTTTTCGTCCACAGTAGCAATTACTGAGCTGGTAGCTATGTTTACAGTAAACTTAGCTCGTGGGTAAGAAACATCCGCAGCCTTGAAGGGAGAAACTTTGTCGATATCTCGCTGATGCACACTGAGCAAGTTAACGAGCATTACAATAGCGCAAAGTACAATGACAAGTACAGTACTTATAGTGCGTCGATCTCGGAATAATCGCCGACACATTAAAGCCATCTTTTCGGGAAACTGAAGCTTTTCCAGAGGTTTATGACTCTTTACATCGACTAATATACAAGCCATCATATGTTTCAAGTCCACATAATCAGACTCAGTTTGACCGTTCTCCACACGTCCACTTCTAAAATTTATGTTACCGATGAGGGCAATTTATTATATGAATGAGAAAGTAACTTCATCGTGATTGGTTGAAAACAGGCCAATTTATCGTTAATTGATTGGCACTACTCTGCAAATTTATGCGCGCGCGTTCGTAATTTTCTCATTCGTATAATAAATCAGTACAATCGCATGAAATCTCAAACAATTAACTATTTACAACAATCGTGATATTTGAAAATTCATTTAAATTGTACTCGCGTTAAGGCTCATGCAATGTTGAGGGAGTTTTCAAATATTAGTTGTAGTGTATATCTTTTCTTCATTCATCGTGTCTTCCAGTTCGTAAGCTTGCAAGTGTTTGTGGAAAATCATATCTCTTGGTAACTGCAGTCAACAACAAAACGCCGACATGACTCTTGCATTCATCTTTCTTTGTTCTCCTGTTAGGCTTAAGCCGTCGAGGAGTGTTCACTCTGATATTTCTGGTTCGGCCTGCAGCAGTTATTTCGAATTTGAGGGTACGACTTTCCATCAAAATTGGTGGGATTTTGAGAAGGCTCGATGTTTCAATTTCAGAGTGATTAACTGTTTTATCATCAATGAACGCATAAGTCCTTGAAAGCTCAGAGCGTGGTTTACCAGAATGTGAATTCTTCTCTGGCTTGAAAGCTTGAAGTATCCACGATTCTGCGAACTTAGGTACTACCAAAAGACTAAGGTATATAGCTATATGATATTACTTTGTTTTAGCTAGCTAATGTATCGATCAATAAACAAATTTGCAGTAAGATTTTATAAGCCTGTTTTCTCCAAGTCTTTAATTGTATTCAAGTCTATCTGAAATAGTTTCCCCAGTGAATAATACCGTTGATGAGAGATCTCGTTCCTGCTGTTACTTTAGGAGCACTTTTCTTTATAAAGAGCCAGTATTGAGTATAACAACCTTTATTTTATTATTATTATTATTATTATTATTATTATTTTAATTTCGTAAGATCGATATTGAAAGCTGACATATATTAATATTTTGCCGACATTGAGCGGAGAGCTGGGTCCGAGCGTAGCGCGCGAAGAGTCACGGGTAGCGCGATTGAGATGAGAAACATGTGACACTCTAAGGTCCGCCTTTCCACACGCAACTTTCGCCTTTTTAAGCTCGTGAAGACGAGTTTATAGGAGTTAGTCGTGATCACTCACTCACTCACTTGCTCGCTCGCTAGTTCGGTCGAGTCCTGGAAATGTCAGGGAATTTCGGAGCGTATGAACTCCCTCACAGGGTAGGTGAGGCGAGTGGCCTTTTGAAAAAAGTACTAAGAAATTGCCTCTCTGCCACTCCCCAGAGATGTTTTTGGTACTGATTGTCTTTGATCATTTGCATATTCTAGGGAGTAGTAGAAAGGTATTTTTTATCCCAACATTCAAAACGAACATGGCGTCGTGTGTTCTGGTATACTAGACGGAGAAACTCCGTACTTAAAACCAAATCACACCTTTAAAGAATTCGAAGAGGTAAGAAATAGCATCAAGAAGACTCTACTGATTAAGAGGGTAACAATGGCTTAGAAGCAATGATATCGTCCTCCGGGTTGCGAGAAGGTCTTAATCAAAGGTCTCGCTGAATACATATATACTTTAACACCACATGTCTCTGAAATTTTCGGTGTCTTTCTGCTTCTAAATGCATTCCTTGGCTTTATCTCGAATGATAATAAATTTTAACAAAGTTCCTTCAACATTTGCTTCATTCGGTCATCTTTCGTTGCAAATTTTATGCTTTAAAAAAGAACAGGATTTGCTATTTGCCATTTCGTTTATTGACATTTCTTCGTTTTGTTTGTTCAAGTAATTCGGTTTGGAGAAATACCTCTTATGAATTTATTAAAGGTTTTAAAATATAGTTTTGAGTAAATTATAAGTATTTTACGGGAGATCAAAATAACGCAATACAAACACAACGTAAGCCACTTTTATTTCAATTCTTTTTTACACGAACCATTTGGAGAAATTTTCGAAGCATTCAACTCGTAACCCTATCGCCAACAACATAATATCACGTTGATCTATATGTGATCAACAGAAGATGAATGGATAAGAGAACACAAGTGAGGATGATCCTGGTCTCTTGGAAAACATCATGTACATGCGATGATACCAAATCCATAAGGGTGCCAAATGTTCTGGGGTGGTCCCGTAGGCAAATGCCCGCTCCTCGTTGATCAGTACTAAAATTTCAAATGACCCACCTTCAGAATGAAGATGTGAGCAAATACCTGTCTATTGCCCGGAAGGACTGGGATGAACACTGCTGGAATTCACTAATGCATTACGTCCGCTTAAGGAAGTTCATTCCAGGATGAAAGGGCTGTTTAAGATCGCATGTAAACGCAGGCTAGTTTTTGACCACGGCTACAGGTGGGTTGCCCCACCTACGGAATCAAGTTATATGGCCTTATGTCCACGCAATGTCGTGTTCATTTCAATTGTCACGCACTCTTATCCAAATGTCTCTTTGGTTCTTTGGCAAACAACTACCACATAACTCATACTCACACACACACAAATCAAAGACGCAATTATACACATAATCAGGAGCCCATAGTCAGGAGCTCCGAACATAATTTCATTCACCGTTTGTATTCACGAGTTTTGCTCATAGAACAATTTGATTAAAGAAGACTTAACCACAAAAGATGAAACCTGAAAGGAAGAAACCAGCCTCTAGCCTGTGATTGTGCGAACCATTTTTTTAACCCCCTCATACAACAAGCAAGATCACCCGAAAAGACCACAACAACAAGAAGAGGAATTTTTTTTTTTGTCGTTTCTTTTTTCTTTTAGTAATTCCTGAATTTATTTGTCTCTCTTCCATGCTGTATTTCTTACAGTGTATCGCTCGTCTTCCATAATCCATTTCCACGGGATTTGAGCGACGTCTGTAATCAAGCTCAGCTTTCGTAGGCTGAAAATTGTCACAAAACCAAAGAGTTTTAAAATGTTTAAAATTTCTAGGTTGTCAGATATCCTTCCATCATGGCTCCAAGCACGCCAATGCATTAGCTTCAGGAACAACGTAGAAAGCATACGTCAGGGGTGGAAGGATCAGGGGATCGCCTGGCGGAACTGGATTCGGTTGGAAGACTGGAAATGACGAGTCGACACCCATCTCAAGCAACTTGCCATTAAGTCTTATCTTTCTACAAAACAGATAAAATGTGCTTAATACCCTTTAGGAAACCATGTTCGAGTTACATCTTTGAGCGATAAAGAGGACACTTCCTTTAACTCGATTCGTGCGAAATTATAAATCATAGGGAAATACAAATCTAAAACTTCCCAAAGAGAAATGTACGCAAAATAGCCCTTTTCACGGCTAACTTTTGTCATTTTCATTACGTTAGAACCCAACATGTGTGTGAGGCAATTTTAAGAAAATGTTACCGTGAAGAGGACTATATAAACAATAACCTCCATTTGGCGCGAAAATATGCTCGGATATTTGTCCGCGCACGTTATCGGTTCCGAGAAGCAAACAGTTTTCCGAGAGCTCTGCTCGAGGAAAACTGTGAGCTTTGAGGAACACATTATGTCCGAGGACAAATATCCGAGCATATTTTCGCGTCAAATGGAGGCTGTTGTGTTTATTATCCTTCAAGTCTTTTTCGCAACACGCGCGGTTTTGAAATTTGGGGAATATCGCTCGGATATTCTCTAGTATTAGCTGGGGAATATTCAGTCACGTGACGCGTTTAGACCAATCGCGCGCGAGCGAAAATATTCAATGGATCATACCGTGAGATATGGTCTTGTTTCACGACAAACCTGGAGGTTATGGATTCCTCTGGAGTGAAAAGATATTCTTCTAAACCAAGTCCTTGAAGGCTCTCCGAAAACGTTATCTCCGCTCGTCTTTTCGGATGTAAATTTATAGCCATAAACGATATGGCGCCTTGCGTGTACCTTGAATGTGTATAGAAAAATTCAGAAAAATTATAACAGTTATTTTGAAGGTACCAATCCGGTAACAAGAGAGGGGGTTTTTCCTTTATTATTGCTCTCAATTTATTTTGAACTTTAATTTTATTTTATTTTCTTATGATAGAATTACAAGAATTGCTTGCGCTAGAAACTGGTTCCAGAAATAATCGAGACGGGGGCAAGAGATGCTATTAACAAGGAAAGAAAGAAAAAAAGTGATGATAATTTACGACAAAATTATAAAAGGTACAAGTAAACAATAGAAACAACTACAGGCAACCGAAAACAAAGTAACATGTGCACATACATAAGCGACGAGAATACTATTATCAATAAACTATTTTTACAAAGCTCAATAATTTTATAGAATTTAGAATTTTGATTCGTGGTTACTATTTTGTTTATCATTTTGTAGTTACCGCGTTGGTTTTGTGATTCTAGGGCCCGACTGCCCCCACAGTGAGTCTCATGACTTCAAGTAGTTTATCTTAGTTTATCAAGAGTACTTAAGCTCCGAACAGTACCCCATCGATGGTCATGTTTGGGTTTGTCTACTGGCCTTGGTCTGTATCTCCTACAAAGATCATGTTTAGGTTCTCGTTCTCTGAACTTAAATTCAAGAAGAAACAAGAAACTAAATTCAAGAACTTTGTAGCTCGGTACTGAAAAGTCGCCTGAAAGCGTTTGGGTTAGTGTTCCGTAAAGATGTTTAATCCCCCAAGGTCAGTCGTCCCGTGTGGCCCACACATACCTACCGATAGGCTATTTAAGTGCGTGTGCATTTGTTAGTCAAGTACATTTAATAGTAGAAGCAGCAGTAGAAGAAGAAGCAGTGGAAGTTAGACGAAGATTGTAAAAGACAGTAGTCCAACAATGAAAGATCCATAAACAGATTCTCGGTACTTCCTCGTTTGGACGATAGAGGGATTTCCAGTACTGTAATAACTTAGAGAACCTCTTTATTTTCACATTGTAACACATCAAGGAGTAGTTTGTTTATTTCATTTCGGAATTTAGATTTAATTGGTAATTTCACTGAAAGTGGGAAGGAATTCCCCAAATTCTCTTGCCGTAACCGACCAATGACAAACGCTAGTCTAAGTAGACTTGGAATAGCATTACCCGGGAAGCTTAGGGTGTGCACATATTAAATATAAAATAATTTAACACTACCCTAGAAATTTACAAATTTGGCATTGAACGTAGAAAGAATTAGGAAATAATGTTAAAACTACGAAGTCTATTTGTCAAAATACAAACGCGAGTAATTAATTACAATTTTCCAACAACAGCAAAAAAATTTATTTCATTACAGTGTTAGAAATTAAAATGTTTTGCTAGCGTAAAAACAAAAATGATAGGGGTGTTGGCTACCCGAGATAACGTAAGATTTAAAAATGCCAAGCACCCAATTAAATATATATATTTTACATGTTTAGGTCAGGGACTCAAACAAACAAACAAACATAGACACACACAAAGAAAATTAATATAGAAATAAACAAGCTAATTACCAGTAGACTACAGTTCTTACATTGCAAAACAGTATTTTATCCAGGAAGAGCGATATACGGATGTCTAATAGTGTTCAATAAAGTGGTGCTTCATTTTATTTTGGAACAAAGACAACGAAGATGATTTCATATCTTCAAATTTATAGCTCTCCATAAAACTATTTTTTTTTCTTAACAGCCGTGTTGATTTCCCACCGTGAAGAACAAACTAGATTTCTCTGCGGAATGAAACCCAGCTGTTGGATACCTTTTTAAATAAGTATTCCAAAACCACAATCTTCTAAAAACATAAATTGCATAGTTGAGAATGGAAGCGTGGTTCTAAAACTGTATGTATTATTCCACTGGGTTTAGGGCTCAAAAAAAGTTCTTACTTTCTCAATGAAGCTCGAGAGGTAGAAAATGTTTTCATTGATCCTTGAGGGGAAAAAGCTCTCAACATTTTAGAAAATGGCATTTACTTACCCAGCTTTCCTGTTGGTACAATGGGCAAAGATTCTCACCATTTCTGGAAGATAGTAAGCACGGTGTACTGCTAGGACTTTGGTGCCAAATAATCTTTTATAGAGGAGTGAAAGCCAAAAATCCTGCATGGATACAATCATGTTTAACGCAAGTTCAATCTTCTTAACACCTTTGGTTACTTACAATGGTCCACTTAGAACAAAGCAGTGTTTATTAGAAGTTACAAAACAGACGAATTGGGTCCGTCCTGTGGTACAAAGTTGATAAAAACTGCTTAATGGTGTTGTTCTTTTTGCCAAATTATTATCAGAATCTGGAGATGATGTTGTCCTGATTATGGGTTAGGGGTTAGAAGAATACGTTGGCCTGGTTGTATTTGATATTCGAAATCACGAGGTCCAACTGTACCAGTTTGAAGAGTAACTTATTGTGATTAATTCAATAATCTGAAATACATTGAAACGGCGCAAATAAACATGCCCAAAACCTGTCCATAATAAATGATTACTTCACTGTTTAGTTTTTTACTCTTTTCAGATACAGTTTTTAGCTCTGGCCCGATAAGCAGTCTGAGAGCAAACGCTACAACTAAATGTTTCGTAATGACAAAACGTTTCAATCAAATGAATAAACATTTAGTTGGGTTTTACAGCTACCATATAACAGGGAAGCAGTATTTTCAAACTTGGACCAATATGGCTACCGACTAAAATATCTATATATAATTCCGTTGCTTACTGCTCAGTTCAATATCGTTTAGTATTAAGTAGATTTTTTAGACGTTTAAACTTACAGGATTTGGTTCCAAGTCTTTACCAACCAACGAATATTCTCCTTGAAACATTGATTGCCTGATAATTACTTTATAACCATGTTGAGCGGCCATGCCGAGTTTGTTTAACCACCTAAACCAGAAGGAAATGTGAGCAAGGTAAAAGCACGGAAAAAAGAAAAAACAACCCTTATTAATCAAGTTCCACTGAGATTTTGTGCTTTGTTTATACATGTACCTAAGGGCTTGGTAAGCGGACCAAACCTGCAAGGCGTAACTGAAAATCTGTTAGTTACAGTCAGTTTCGTTCTGTCATTTCGTTTGTTCTCGCGCGACGCCCCGCGAAAGCGAAGCGAGAAGAATCTTCGCCGTTTTTGTTGTTGTTGTCTTTGTTATTGTTGTCAAACA